GCCCTCTCTTTCCGCGCGCGAGCGCGTGTGCAACCGTTTTCTTGTAATTTTTTTTTTTCTTTTCTTTTTCCCTTCCCCTTCTCCCTTTCCCCCCCGGGTTGGTCTTGAGTAATTGAAATTAGCGGCCGGCTTCGTTTATTACGCGTTTCGTATCGCTAATTATCGTTGCTCCGCGGCCCCTTTGATGCCGACGTTTTTAAGTATATATTTTACTGGAATCACGCTGCACCGGCTTAATGATGTATCGCGTGAATTAAGATAAAAGCGGAGCCTCCTCGAGCCGAAGACACGATCGTAGAAGGGAAACGTGTAACCGGTGGCCAAAGCACTCGAAACATTCCCGGTTACTCGGAACTCGAATCGCCGCGGAACTCGTTTTATCGAACCCCGATTATCGAGCATTCCCTTAATATTTTGGCCGATTGCTCCGACGACTTGCAACGAAATCCCAGTCCAACGAGTAGTTTATGCAACTCTAACATCCGGTTACGTTGCGTTCCCCGTTGCCGCGTTTCGACTCCGGCTCCCATGCTTTTCCCATTTATTTTATCGCAGCGGGGCGCTTATGGGGGTGGAATCTCGAGCATTAAGGTCCGAGGAAATATCCTGCACGATTTGTACGAGTAATATCGGTAAACAGTAATATCGGAGCGTCCGACGATGTAGTACTTTGCTCTCGAAGTACTCGAATAATTTAAAACGTGGCTGGTTCGTAAAATTCGTAAATTATCATAATAATAGTATCGGGGAATATAATATGGTATTTTAATATTCAAAATACGGGAATAATTTAAAATCTACACGGTTTATATAGAATTCGTTAATTATTATAATTATAGTATCGGAGTATTTAATAACATGGTATCTTAGTTTTGAAATAGTCGAATAATTTAGAATGTACACGGTTTAGATAGAATTCATGAATTATAATGATAGTATCAGAGTATTTAATGATACGGTGCCGCAGTTTTGAAATACTTGAATAACTTAAAATATAGCCTATGGTGTGCGCAGAATTCATAAATACTTTTTGCGAAAGCGAGCCAAAGTGCTGCATTTTCACACCTACTGGTAAGACAGTCGTAAAATTTCTAATGTCTAGCCAAGAGCGTTCATTAATCAATAGCTCGAGCTGTAAATTGCCGACAGTTCTTGGAGCTTGTTCTTTTTAATTTCGCTTCGTGTTAGACACATGTAGGGCGGCTGCGTTATTACACTGTATGAATTTCAAAAGAAATTAATATTCCCTCTTGGTAATTGAATTGCTCGTCGCATTATGCCGATCATTATGAATCGGTGAAGACGCGAACCGATCAGTGAAACATCTATGCTAATTAGTACTGCATCATTTTCTCGTACGTATAATGACCATATATTATACCAATAGATATCCCTATCGCTATTATTATATTTCAATTTATCCCAACTGGGATTCGCATATTATCGTGGTCATCATTAAAAAAAAAAAAAAAAAAAAAAAATAAATAAATAAATCAAACGCGATAAATTAATTTTTATATACGTCTGATGGCGTGTTTCGTAAGTAGAGCGAGGAATTCTTCTATGTAGGTTCATTTTTCAGCTCTCGATACGTACTAAATTCCTAGATACAGGAAATCCTTTCGACAGTTGTCCCTACGTGTGTGGCAAGGTCCGTTAGATAAAATCTTTACTTAAGGTTCTCCTTTTCTCTTGCTTTGTGGGTGGCAAAGAGGTCGTTCGAAATTTATTGCTCGCTATCGGTCTTCCACATTGATTTTGCCATTAAAACCTTATCGTGCTACATTTAGCATCGACGCGAACGATTCACAAATTAACACCTTTCTGTTAGCCACAAGGCGAGCAACCGTTTAAATTATTCCCTCGTGTAATAAAACACTCGTGTATCTTTTAACGCTAAACCTGCCAGCGATCAAATGCTCTCGGTCGTGGTTGATGAAACAGGCTGTGCACGAGTCTTGCGAAAAACAACGAACAAGATGCATATCGAAAAATTGATTTCACGCGTATCCGGAGAAAGATCCAAGAGCTATAATAATTCCGTTGCTTGCAGAATTTTTCGAGACTGGAGATTCGAAAGATTCGAGTCGTTAAAGCGACAATTTTTGTATAATTTCAAAGATTTTATTCGAGATAAAAATATTTTTATGTCTTTACGAGAAGCTCGTCTATTTTATTCGATACGTTAGACAAATATTCCGCGTCCGACACGCGATTTACCCGAGTGAGCCATCCAGGAAATACAATCCCCTAACCGTTTTAAACGATGCACTTCCTGCCGCCGCTGAAAACTTCATTTTTAAAGCGTTGCATCGCGCATGGTGCGGTGTGTCGTGTTCCATAGATGTTCGTTTATGCACGGTAGTTGCGTAAAGGAATCTTTTCAGCGTTTCATTTCGTAGAACGCTTTTACACGGGTGTCTAGGTAACGGTAAACGGCGGCGTAATGCAGACACATTAAAGATACATTACACTTCCTTCGGCGAGTGTGCAAAACGTTTCTGAAATAAACGCTGGAAATGGACGTGTGTGCTCTCCCCGTCCCTTTCGGTGGGACTTTCGTTAATTCGTTCGCTCGCACCGAGCGAATAATTTCGGCCGAGCAATAGACCGAATGCATTAGAGATAATTGCGCTTTTATGCACGGAATCCGCGCTCTCTGTAATTATGAAACAGCAACCCCTTTGATCTGTAATTTACGCGTTTAAACGCGCTCGCGTACATCAATTTCTAGACACGCTTCCGCCGATTAAAATTTTCCCCTTTCCTCCATTTTGCCATCCTTCTTTCCCCTTTTCCTTCCCCATTTTTTCCTCTCCTTTTCGTTCTTCTCTATCTCACTCGCACTCTATCTATATATATATACGTGTTTTTTTTTTTTTTTTTTTTTTTTTTTTTTTTTTTTTTTTCTATTTTTCTTTCGTTTGATCGAAAGTCGAGCATGTAAAGACTTCTAATCCCGCGAGGCTTTGAGTCGGTATGCGAAAACGTGATCGCGAGATCGGTTTGGTGATCTGTTGTATTTATTTCTGGTGATTCGATGTTACATCCCCTTCAAAATAGTCCGAAAATACTTCCTACACTCCGTAACTTAAATACCGAGTGGCACTCAGAAACTGACTATAAATACAGGCTTTACCGTGGAGGATGTTACTTTGATACCTTTGAGATTCTGACTTTTGTTTACGAGCGATGCCGCCGCTCGACCGTAGATAACAGTTTCATTCCCTTTGATGAGAACTTCATGCAAGGCGAAACAAGACTATGACGAGAAATATAACGAGCAAGCGTAAAACAAGTAGCCACGTCTCTGGCCCTACGTTTATTCCGCCTCATTCTCGCACAATCCCGATTTTACTTTACTTTTATGCACTTTATATTTGCTTGTAATATATACATTAGCAACATAATTTCGTTCCTATATAATTCACTCGCGCGGAATGTTTGCCAACCTCGCTGGTATAATTCGCTTTATAATGGTTGCAAGCTGGTCCCGGTTAACGCTAAATCCACCATGGAAACGGGCAAACGAGGGATCTCGGGGGCGAAACGAAATAAGGAGAGACGCTGAAAAATTGATTACGTTATCGAGCGACGAGAACGGTGGCGTTGAATGCAGAACGTTTAATGAAAAGCGCGAAAACGATCGCTTGAATACTGGTAGCTTTAGTGCAAACACATTGAACGCCATGATGGTCACCGGTGGCCGTCCATTTACTCCCCGTTGACCCGATGACCGCCACGTGATTAATATTTTAAGATGCACACGCGTGAAATTACACCTGGAATGTGATTATTATCGTTTAATAATAGTCAGAAGGTGTATCGACCAAATATGCTAATCGATAAAGCGACATTTTTATTTTCCAAAATTTTGAAAGATTTCAAAGATTATTGCACAGAGGTATCGCGATGGATCGCGTTGAATTTGAGAAAAATTGACGTAAATTAGGGTTTGTGGAAATATACTTGGTGTTCAATGTGTTACGTGTAACTGCAAGTGGGAATTTTCATTCATCGTTACTCTAAAGTTGACGGTTTGGTTACAGTGGTTGGTAATACGGAAGGCAGCGACTCGGAGGAACTTCTTGGCGGTGTCTCAGCACCTCGTAGCGGTTCACCACCGGAATCTCAGCCAATTTTGTTGGAAACAGAGGCACCGCAGGTCGCAGTTGACGCTTCCACCAGCCCTACGCCGGCCACCGGAAATGACGAGCAGCCGAGCGCTAGTACAACGAAGCAACTCAGTTTCGAGGTATTATTAACTCTCCTGCTTGTTGAAAAAGGAGCAAGGTGATAGGGGAGCAGCCTATGTTTTTATCGTGTTGCGATTTGTATTTAAATTTCATGAATTTTTTTCAAGTCGTGCGATCTTCTCTCGATGAGGGAAGGAGGGGAGGACGGTGTCTTCGTTAAACGTAATTATCTCCAGTTGTACTGCGTGGTTCGCTTAACCCTCGTATAGCGAATCGTGTATTATCGACGAATGTACTTTAACTGACAAAACGTCCAATCTTTCCTCCTATTTAATACGTTTAAAAATGTGTCGATCCGTAGAAACTCGGGCAAAATTTTGTGGTCAGGTGAAATTAGTCTTAATAATCTTCTGGGTCCTTACGAGCATTAGAAGAAGATGATTTTTGTACATTTCTCTGTCTCTTGTAGCATATAGTGGGATAAGAAGTATCCTATCTTTTCAACATTTTTATGTATAATTGAAAATAATATAAAATGCATAGTGAGAAAATAATATAAAGTTCATCAGAAAAATTGCAGGAACCGTTTACATTTGAATATAAATAATCCCCACATATATTATAAATTTCATATAAATATATATCTCATAGTTTCATTTATAAATTAATAATGTATAATTATATTGGGGTACATTTTCATCAGAAAAATTACAGGAACCATTTATTATACATTTGAACATAAATAATCTCTAGATATATATATTTTATATAAATATATATCCCAAAGTTTCATTTATTATTTATAATAGTGTATAATAATATTGATTCTGTACAATTAAAAATAATATAAAATGCATAGTGAGAAAATAATATAAAGTTCATCAGAAAAATTACAGGAACCGTTTACATTTGAATAGAAATAACCCCTACATATACTATAAATTTCATATAAATATATATCTCATAGTTTCATTTATAAATTAATAATGTACAATTATATTGGGGTACATTTTCATCAGAAAAATTACAGGAACCGTTTATTATACATTTGAAAATAAATAATCTCTAGAAATATAAATTTTATATAAATATATATCCAAAAGTTTCATTTATTATTTATAATAGTGTATAATAATATTGCTTTATAAAATTTGTTATAAAGAAAACGTCTGATTTCGTTCATACGTAAAATCGATACGTCTTTAGAGATAGGTATACAAGAAATGTCCATAAATCTAGTGTCAATAAAATATCAAATTTTATTTAATACACAAAATTCTCAGTTGATCCCACCAATCTCTTGTCACGAATATTACCAATCCTGGAGATTTCTAAACGATTAGGATCTCCTTCTTTCTCTTTAAAATCCTATACTCAAAGAAAAAGTCTCTCGTTGCTTCTCGCCCAAGCATATTTTCTGCATTTATACACCATCCGAGTAGAAGGTAAAACAGAAGCAACTGCTCGTTCATCGCGTTGATGCAGATTTTAAAGAGATCGTCGCGCTCTTTACGAACTGCTCGTACCTAAAATAACGAATCCCATTGCAGGAATTCGAATGCGACGTTTCGGTAGCAGAGGGCGACCGGAGGCGGCAAGAATTCTCGTTCACCCTGTACGACTTCGACGGCCACGGGAAGATAACAAAGGACGACATAGCCGGGCTGGTTACTACCATTTACGATACCCTGGGCGCTTCTATCCAGGTACCTCCGTGCGGCAGTAAGACGATTAAGGTGAAATTGACTGTGTCGCCGGATCAGAGGAGCAGCCAGTCGCGATCGGCCGGCGGCTGTTTAAACGCGTCCTCGCAGCCGGCTGCAAGCTTTTCCGGAAATTCGTCCTGCTGCCATTTGAAGCACGCGTCCTGCAACAATGCCGGGGCCCACACCGGCGCACACGGTTTACGTAGAGTTCCTAGAAGGAGAAGGGTGCCACGACACCGTTGCCAGGTAAGATTGATGCCCCTACGAGGCGAGGATTCGAGGCTCGGGTTTTTATGGAGCCGCGTCCTCTTTCGTAACCCGACAATTCTAGAAGCTAGAGGCGGATTTATCATTTCTGCCTTTCGAGATTTATCGCTCGCGGGAAGCAGGGATGTTCCTTTCTTTCTTGTTTTTTTATTCGTTTTCCTTCTTTTTCTCCCTTTTCCTCTCTTTTTTATCGATGTTGGACAGATGTAAGGGTTCTTGCGGATTGACTTTTTGTTGCCGGTGTTCGAACTCTCGTAAGTGAATGAAACAGCCATATGTCACTGTTCCGTGCGCTTATTTGTACGTAAAAATGTGTCGTAAATGCGATTCTCTCTGTTTTTTTGAAACGAGCGAATTTTATACGGGGGGAAAGCGTGAAAATATTTCTAGAAATGTTTTGTTCTTATGAGAGATAATATTTTTGACCAAGGTTTATTCGGCGAATAAAAATATTTTCTTCCGATTTGCTATTTCAGAACGAACAAAAGGAGGTAGACACCCACAGCGAGGATGACGGTGAAAACGCGCGAACGAATCGAATAAAGCAGGAGGAATTACGTAGAAGGGTGGGGCCCGTGCCTCATTTACCATCACCCTATTCCAATAGCTCCGAGGGTGATATTAGCGATGACAGTGATGTCTCCCCCGCAGTTTCCCCCTTGACGCCTCTCCTCACGACTAATCAGCGAAAACGCAGTGGTGCCCTACAAAGGCAACAGCTCTTGGAAATTATTCAGGCGAACATGGAAAAGAATAATCTCAGTTTTCATACGTCAAGGTACGTTATTTGCGCTCAACCGCGTGGAAAATCGCATAATACCCTCTTTTGAGGGAAAAAGATGATATCGTACTTGAACGTCTATCTCGAATGCAGATTCCCAATAAGATTGTTCCTTTTATTGCGGCATTCTTATTTGCATTCGTCGCAGTCTTTCGTAAATGTATTATTCGTATACATTATTCGTCTCTCTCGTTCGAGGGGATTTTTCTAAAGCTAAAGAAGCATAAAACGAATATACACCGCGATAAAGCCATACCCGAAATGTTACGTACCTGTTCTCCCTCCGAAAAAGAGACGTAATAAAAAAGTTACCATGCATCTTTTAAACCAGGAAACGGCATCAAAACGAGCAACTGCGCATTCCATCCCAAACCCCACATGTCGAGCCTTCGCCTCACTACAATCAAGACTGTCGCTCACCGTCGGAATCTCGGCCCACGGCGACGGCCTACCATAAGCCTACTCGGGAAAAGCCCCAGGGTTTCGCGTCGTTCTCCAAGGTACCTGCAAAGCACAGGGGGAATCTGAGGAAGACGAGAACGCAGTATGGACTTCAAAGGAATAACGCCACGGTACAGCCGCCGCGAGCATACGTTCAACCTCAAGTTCTGCCAAGAACCGTGATCAGTCCAAATGTGTACACAGATCAACAAACCGCTGCCACGGCTAACACGAATCGTAATGGCGGCAATCTGATATCGAACAATCAGCATCCTATCAATCAGACCCCCCCAACCAGCAATCATAATGTTCAACGTAACGAGACGCAGTTCGGCCAAACGCAGCAGTGCGGTAAATCGAGCAAGAAGCATCAGCTGAAGCATGCGACTAGGGAACAAGATCAGGCCAGAGCCATGGTTCAGGTCGTCCGTTGGCTGGAACGGGAATTCTCGCAAAACGCGGCTGCGAGCACCGGTAGGAAGCACGTTCACGAGCACATTCATCATCATTATCATCATTATCACACGGAGGCACTTGTTTGATTCGTTCTTCGTTCGAGGAACCTTTGCGCAAATGTAACGAGATGTTTCGGTGATTGCGTTAATCCTCGAGCGATAGGATGGAAACTCAGTGATCTGTGTCGTTCCTTCAGAAATTTTTGCCTGGTCGCTGTCTGTCGGAAATCTCACGATTATTTTCTATAAGTTTCACCGTTGAAAATGTATGATTGTATACCGTTTTCTCTTGATACGTTTCCAAATGTATTAGCACGGATTCTGCATTTGTAAAATTGATTATAAAAGCAATCGAGATGTATATTTCACGGTTAGTTAGAACAAAGAGCGAATTATTTACTACAGCTTGAAGATCCGAGTATCGAAATACCTAAAATTAAAGCGTGGTAAACATTTGATTAATGTATTACTTTGCTACACTTATTCTGTAACGGTCTGTACATTTTTATTCGTTCGAATGTACTGAGTTCCTGCGTACATTTTAATTCCGAGATATTGATATTCTAACGCAAATTCTAAGAATCACTGCCATATTTCATTCTTTTTAGAAAAAAGATGAACCCAATTTGAACATAGTCGATCTATGGCGAACCAAAGCGGATTTCGAAAAATATCCACTGAAATAGGTTTGACCTGTCAGTGATATCGGCTAAGCAAATCTATCGAGAAGTTTTATTCTTGAGACGTGTAATCGTGTTCATATTTTATTCTGTAGAAATCGTTAATTATTTATCCTACGGTATAGGTCGATTTCCTCTCGTTTCTCTTTAGGATTTCCAAGGCAAATGATGAAAGCATGTATAGGTATTTCCCCCAATCTCTAATAATATTGCGAAGAAAAATCTAAGATGGTACCAATGATGTATTACTATACCGAAGTGCTTACTATACGAAGGTTGTTATTTTTGAAATTTTTACAGTCTCGCTACTGTAATGTTTGACATTTATATTCATACGTACACACACGGTAGCGGTTCGTTTTTGTACATAATTTGTATAAAATAATGAATTTCAACGATTTATAATATAATTTTCTACAAACATTTTTATAGAATTTTTTAAATCGAGTTACAATCTATTGAAAGGAAGATTTTGTTTTCAATTTTCCTTCGAGCTAGAATAATGTACAAAAGCGTACAAAATGCCTCACTTCGATTTGCGTAACTTTTGTATTTTTTTAGTACAAAGTACAGGGATTTGTTTTAAGCATAAATTTTATTTTAATTTCACGAATATACGAATCGTTTTGTTTATTACAGTAATGACTTTATAACAATTTATCCGATCTATATATATATAATAAACGACGTCATTTTAGACGGAACAGTATTAGTGCGTAACAATAATGTAACCACTATATACAATAAAGTTGCCTAGGGAGTCAGAGTACGAATGAAATTTTTACGAATTCCGGTGTGCGAAATAAAAGATCAGGAAAGGTAGAAATATTTTAAAGCCGTGGCGTTCAATAAGCACGATAAAGACTCTAAGGGTCCGTATACTTACGTAAGAAGACAGAGTGCTTTTCTAACTTGAACTTTCTCGTTGAAGGTTCGAGTAAAAATTCAGGAGAAGTGCCCGCCGACTAGATCTTGAATGCTAAGCATTTTAAAATGAATTTTCTTTGGACGCTTCTCTTGGAATAATCTGTAATTCGACGATACGTATTTATTTAACTACGACATAAGCGAAATAGACAAAATATTTAGTCAAAAAGTGAGAACTGTGTTGACTGATTGCAAAATTTTTTAAGCAGTTCTTGTCGCTTAGTGAATAAACCATAAAATGGTTTTTCCAATCAGTCAAAATTTTAGTAATACAATAGTTTAATAGGGATAATCGTTACGCGTAGTTAATTTCAGGAAAAAGATAGACGAATGTGACTGTAAGAAAATTAAATTTGTTAGAAATAATTAAAGACGTAAGAAAAACGTGACTGTTTTGCAATCATTCAATATCTTTCTTGATTTGATATTCAGCGTTGTGATTTTTACGAAAACCGCAGTTTAATGTTATTTTCGTGAAGATTACAATGAAAATCAATGGTGCTTCTATATTCCAACGAATACAATAGTAATACCCCATAATGGCGTTAATCATTATTTCGTTGTATTTATACAATACTTCTCGACAATACAAGAAAGTATTAAGATAATGTAATTCTAAGAAAATTGTAAGAAAGCAATTGTAAAATTTGTGTTCGATTTTGTGACGCTATTTCTTCTAATTTCTTCTTGCCTTAACTTTTCAATTCGTAAACGATGAATCAGTAGCAAAATATGCGGTCGCAGAGAATTGTTGGTTTATTGTACTACTCACTTTGTTTTAATACTATTAGAAGTAATGGTGTTCTAATTTTATAAATTTTGAAACGATTTTTAATTTCTCTTTTCCAGAAAGTATCGCTGGTAATTATCTGAAAGAAAATATAATCATAAAATCATCTTCGTTGAAAAGGAAATAGTGTTTCTTAAATTTTATGTATATATCTTGTATTATGTATAACACGTACGTTAATGTTACATAGCAAAAAGATTTGTCATTGAAGCTTTAATTAGAATGCATATAATTATTTCCGATACATTAATGTAACTTAAACATACGAATCATAAAAGTCTTATAATGTCAGGAATTAATGCAGGAATTATCATGTATGTGTATCTTTTGAGGCTCAACGTTGAACACGGATCAAATTTTTATAAAAAAAAAAAAAAAAAAAACAAACGATAAAAATGAAAAGAATGGACTTGTCAAGAGTGCCTTGTCATATCTCTGTTACTGTATTAATTATAGAATCTCAATTTACGAGAGTAATTTTTTAAATTTCGGCGAATCCATTTATTATTAACACAATTACAATAATTTTCACATTAGCGGTATATTATTAAGCTACGTATTTCTTTATATTATTTGGAAATGCATGATGCTTAGAATCTAAAAAGCAGGAATTGTTATGGATATTTTTCTATCCAAGTACTCAAGAAAAAGAAGATTATAAATATAATATTTATTAATTACGATAGATATTACTAACAATACGATTAAACACGACGATAATTGCTACTTTGTACATTTATAAGTCTTGGATGGTGATACTGTCCAATGACATGTAATTTTATATTGAACTTTGTAATCATTGTAGATATTTTGTGTAATGTATTTTTTATTGATATTTATTAAAAACACATTTTGATACTACATCATCGGAATTCATCTTGGAATTCCTTCTCTACAGAGTGTTTCATGAATCAGACCAATAAAGTCTCGACATTATTTTCATTTCTCTACTTGTGCTTTTCTCTTACCTCCTTTTCCTACTCTTATGATATTAGCAGAAAGCCATTAATAGTTTTTAATAGCATAATAATTTTAAATTGTATCGTAGGAAAATGAAACGTACTTAATTATTTTACGAGTAAATTTTAAAGCACCGCGATATTTTTTTAATGTTCGCAATTAAAACCAGAGGGCGATATCATAGCCCTTTTAAATTCTATCATGATATGTAAACAAGAAGAGTATGACAATGGATGCACGTAGACGGGATAGAGAGCAAATTGGGTTATGTGGAGTTGATAGAATTTGGGGCAAATCACCGACACGAATCGAAGAGTAAGATATTACAATGTTTCTTTTTAGATTTTGAATCTTTACTATTTGAATTATTTTATCAATATTAATGATGATATAATCTAATAATAAATTAATATATCTTTTGTTTTTGTAAATTTCGTGTTTTTATTTTTACGAACTGTGGATATATGATAAATGTTTTATATTTGATGTAGTTCCGACGAAGATGAGGAGATTCATAAATACAACAGTTCTATACCAAAAGACAGGAAAAGGAAACAAGAGATGAAGAGGAAGGTATGAAAATATTGTGTTACTTTACATCAATTTAATAAGTAAACTTTATTGTCTTTGCTTAGTATAATTTTCTTTCTTTATAATATTATTTTGTTGTGATCTTTATTTAACTATGTGTAATTCATTGTTGTTTTAGAAAAGTAAAAAGTTAAAGAAAGAAAAGAAAGCCAAGAAAGAGAAGAAGAAAAAACGTAAAAAGAAAAAAAAGAAGTCAGATAGTAGTTCTGATAGTGAGTCTGAGGAATTAGAATGGGTAGAAAAGAATGGAATTAATGATAAAGCAAAGGTTAAGAGAGGATCAAGTTCAGATGAAAGTGGTGACGAAGTAGTTGGACCAGTACAGAAACCACATGTGACATTATCTGCTAAAGATTTTGGCAAAGCTCTTTTGCCTGGTGAAGGTGCTGCTATGGCTGCATATGTTGCAGAAGGAAAGCGTATACCTAGAAGAGGTGAAATTGGTTTAACTTCAGAAGAAATTGCTGCATATGAATCTGTTGGCTATGTCATGAGTGGTAGCAGGTAATACATTCTTTTACAATTAGTTACCTAAATTATTAAAAGGTATAATGAAGGTCAAAAATATAAATATGTTCCTATATTAATATTATTTTTTTCGTTGCAGACATCGGCGTATGGAAGCTGTTCGTATCCGAAAAGAAAATCAAATTTATTCTGCTGATGAGAAACGAGCATTGGCTATGTTTAGCAAAGAAGAACGACAAAAGAGGGAAAATCTTATTTTAGGACAATTCAGAGAGATGGTTAATCAAAAGTTAGCACAGGAACAGAAAAAAAAGTAATGTAGTTCTTTTATACTAAAAGATAATTTTCATGTTTGGCATAGTGTATATAAGGTTTTTGACTGCATGATAAAATATTATTTATATGTATGTATATATATCATCATATGTTACATTACCTATTATTATGAGACAGATTTAAGAATTTTGATTTTAATAGATATATAACAATTTATTAACAAATAAATATATCTACATATAAAAAAAATTATTATAATATATTAAAATTATACTTTTTGATTATTTTCCCAATCCAGCCATCCTCCAACATAATTGTATGCACTAAAACATGAATGTTTAATTAGCACATTTATAAAATATGCATATATAATTAATATACTTTTCATATCCAAGTTTTTGTATCTCTTCTTGAACAATGCCACTTCTTTTTCCAGATCTGCAGCTTAATATGATTCTTGTATCTTTGGAAGGTTTTTCCTTATTGAATCTCTCCTTAAAATCTTCCTTAGAAAGGCTCAACAATGTATTGGCAACATCCCCCACTATAATTAAGAGATCCAATAATAACTAACATTTTAAGGAATAATTTTAATCATAGCAAAACAGACTTGGTATGTGAATACTTCCAGGTAGTTTTCCAGTTTCATCAATTTCTTCTTTTTCTCTGACGTCAATGATTAAAACACTACTATCCTTTTGAGCTTTTAAAAGTTCATTATAATCAATATTATGAGACTTTTTATTATTTTCAGATACAGTGTCCATATCAGTATTAAGATATATTGAAGTTGAAAACTCTAAAGTTGGTTGTACTAAAAAATATGTTTGAAATATTGTAAATAAAATGTTATATTTATAAGACATGGTATTTGTAATTATAAGTTTGTGTAAAAATATATTAAAAGATAAGATTAAAAAGCACTTTTTATATTTCTTGTAAATGATCGATAAATGACGTTATAGACACCTTTTACAATATTTTTTTGTAAATTACTATGGAGAGGAAATATCATATGTGAAATAGTTTTTAACGATTTATCACAAATACATGATCTTTGATGTAATGATCTAAAAGAAATAAGTTTGTAACACTGTCGTAAATTAATAAAATTCATAATTAATTTCTGGTCTGTCCACAATCATGCAGTATTATTCCTCACGAGCTACGGTACAGTGTCATGTCAAATTCTATATACATATGTAAACGCCATAAGCCAAATTGTATTCTAAAATAAATAAAAATTTTTGCATTAGAATATTTTCTGTATTAAATTTTTCTTGTTCAAAATATAAGCATATTTTCTAAGAATATTAGAGATAAAGATATTGCTCAATATCAATTTTCAATGACTGCCATTCTTTACCAATGAATACGACTTAACTAGTTTTATTAATCAATTAAGATAATGATAAATATTTTCATTCAAAATCAATTTCCAATTTAATGTATTTTCATGTATATGAAAATATTAATTTCGAATAAGAATAATCTGATTATAAAATAAAAGTTTATTGAAAGAATCTGAGTATGTATAAAAATTGCATATACCAATAGAACAATGAACTTGACATAAATGTCTAACTTAAGAATAAAGTGTAAAAACACTTTGTTCAGCGTGTAAAAAAGAAAGAAACTGTTACATTTATCGTAACATGACATAAAAAAAAAGATATGAGGATGAAATTCTGCGTACATTGCTTTTTAGTGATTCATCTACAGATGAAGAAAAAAGTTGGGAAAGTTTAGAAGAGTCAGGAAGAGCG